TCAGTAACCAATCGATAGCTCGAATCTCGAGCTTTTAGCGCGGTGTAATAGTAGGGATAAAACTGTGTCACACATATGTAGGTATTTTTCGCTAGAAACAGCTCTTGTATAAATATTCAATAGCTATCCGATAGCCCAAATCTCGATAATTTCATCAACATGCTCGGTTTCAAGAGGGACTTTTTAGTGCATTGTTTAGTGCAAGAGATTATTGGGTTTCCCACTCGGAGCGCATAACACGTCACATGTAAACTGCGCTGCGCGATCGACACGGCGCTGACTGAGAAACTCGCTATTCTTCTAGCAAAGACAGCGCACTCAAAAATCTGGAATTGATAAGATTTTTTGCTACTGAATGGTTATTGAAAATCTGAATGACAATTTGTGCCCAGCAAAATATGATCGAGTGTGAGATAAAATTTTATTTCCACTTTTACAGTATAAAGTAGGAACCACTTAAAGAATAAAACACACCATTTGAAAAAATTCAAGCCATCGAATAATTGCTGAGACGTCAAAAAAGAATGAAAAACACGTTTTTTGATCATGGGTGCGGATAGGGATAAGTACCAGTTCTCATGCAGAACATATCCATTCCTTGGTCGACCGCGGATAGGACTGCATTCGTTTCGACTTTCGAACGCTTGTTTTTATACTCGACAGAACCCACGGTGAGAAGCTTACGTGGTACTTCCCACAAATTTTTGCGACCATAAATGCAGTTTGGACGTAGTCCACGCAACGAAATCTTGCGTGTTCAACTAATTGTGCCTCATCCACGTTTTGATATGTACAAAAGAACAATCTTCGTAAAGAGCTTGTAGTGTACATCCATATCACGCTACATGGTATACTGACTACGAGCGAACTCCTCCACTTATCTATGATTTTTTCCCTTTGGACATGATGTCATGTGTTGCGAAAATTGTATGTATATTGTCTCCTTCAACTCGTCGAAAGTCAGCAGTGATGTCATCAGATCTGCAAGCTATGCCTTTCTTCATACTTCTTATCGGAATTTGATCTTCAAAAGGAGGATTTGCAAGTAGCTTTCTTTGGGATCCACAGATGGGATGGCATGACGGGAAACGTTGGTTCATAATTTCTCCATCGCCAATCCCGTCGCTTCTCTTCGAAGCTCATAGCGGGGTGCTATATTCGCATATGTTCTTTCAGAACTTCTCCCTAAAAATCCATTTGAATGTTACTTCTAAAAGCTCCTTCTGCCTATACCGACGTAGACCTTTTGCAAAGCTATTGTGCAGCTATCATTTAGTATAATCCGGGCTAAAGGTGTTGCGTTAGAATTACACTTCAGCTGTTTCCTCTCCAAGTAACTCCTTATCCAAATAATTGAAGTGCAATCGCATTTCTGTTTCAGTAACTAGAGTCGATTGGGCAAATCGTTGAAGTCCTTCAACAAGCAGCCGTATTCTTAGGGTGTGACTCCCTTAATTTGCTATTAACATGAAGAGAGAATTCTACTAAGAGTATTTCAGTCATATGTTACTTCCTCAATTTTCTGTAATGATCAAAGGAGCAATATTTAGCTTATTGCCCGAACCTGTTATAAATCAATCGCCAACGAGTTTCCTGCACACGAAATATTCTAAAAGAGTGCTCGATATACCCGTACTTTCCACGTTTTTGCCCTTTCCTCGAAAGCGTCATAGAGTTACATTAAGAGAGGAAGTTTAACAAATGGTCATCTGATTGCAGTACTAATAGTTTCCTAGAAGTGATGGTGAGAAAAGCTCATTAGAAACGTTGAACACTGAAGTAGGGAAAAAGGAGGGTACTGGGAAATTGTGAGGAAGCAATTTGTAGGAAAAGATAGAACTGATATCATTTCAATTATGATGGTTTCACATCTGCCTTGACTGACTACGACAAACGAGATGGATCAAAGGTCGGTGTTCTTATCAAAAGGTCCCTTAAAAAGCAATGCACTTGTAAAGTTATTTTCATAATGAAACAAAACACTTTACTGTGTTACTTTCTTCTCATAAATTGAACAAAGGAAGGCTTTATTTTGGAATAGATAGAATTTATGATAAGAGTTGCTGCTGTGCATTTAATGGAAGTGTGAAGAAAATGCAAAAAAAAAAGAAACGAAATAAAAAACAGTGAATTATTAGAAAGAATCGTGGTTCTATACAAGATTACGTTGAAAAACTATCACATCTTTTATGAGCTGTAAAGAGTTTTTAATCGATCAAAAACAAAGCGGCTCAATCAGAGTAATGGTTGCTCTCAAAGTCTAAAAATGTCTCAGAGTGCGAAATTTGTGACTATTCAGGACTATACTTATTTTTTGACAGCTACCACATGACGAGCGCACGTGGCGCAGTGGTTAGAGGTGCTCTGCATCGCACAAGAGGTCAATGGTTCGATATCGCGCTCATGGCTCACTAAGCCATCCATTCTCCGGGGTCGGTAAGTTGGTACCAGACTGGTCTCAGAGTCGTCTGGGAGCATAAGCAGCACTGACTCGGTTCATCCGTAGGCCACCGCGAGTCATTGTAAAGGCCAAATAAGCATTAAATCACCTCAAACGAAGTTAAAAATTGAAGACGGATGCATGACGCATCCCTCAGGGATTGATCAACTCCGAGAGCTTAATCCTTTATCCTAATTATCACATGTCACTTTTGAAGGCCGACTATCTAATAACTACTGTACTGATTGAATAATTCATCGCCTTTCGTGATGAGTAGAGGTTTTTATTAGATCGTTCCATGTGTTCTGGTGCTAGAGCAATAAAACACCAAATTCATTGATGAAAAGTAATTAGATTTTCATGATTTTAGTATCGTTCAGTTGCACATTTTCTTGTAAACATTTTGCTATACAAATTGCCTATATATACTTTGAGATGAAGCTGTCTTGAGAACAAATTATCTTGTTACTCATGCACGGATGGTGCATAGGGGAAAATGCTACTGGAGTGATGAGCAAAATTAATGGAGCTTGGGGCCATGAAACGATTGCAGAAAAGACCGCTAGGAAGTGTTAGCAAAGTTCGAAACTGGAACGAGCAGTCTGGAGGGTCATTCGCGCTTGGGCCGTCCACAGGAAGCTCCATTAATCTTGCGCGCCGCTTCACTATCATTTTCCACACTATCAATTACTTCTAATTGATATATTGATGTTTACTGCCTTATTACCAAAACTTATGGTAAGAAGGAATATTAGTAAATTGAATATAACATACCAACACCACCTGCTATTTCGTTGATAGTCGAGTGGTTTACGTGAGTTCCTATAAAGCTTTTATTTTTCCTACAGTATAGAAGAGTGTAAGTGGGTTTTCCTCGCTGTAGAGAACCGCTGAGCATCATATCTTTCTTCATGAATTTGCATGAAGAATCGAGCCTTGGTATTGGTGGTGTGCCTGTTGTACGTTTGATATCTTGAGGAATCTAGAAGGTGACGGCTATTGTTTATCGCTTGCCGATGAAACACCTTACGTTTTCGGCCCATCTTATCATCGCTGGCTTTCCGGGTAGAAACGACGTTTTGAAATTTCGATAGTTGATGTTGGTGAAAACTTTGAATTCATTCTCTCATCAGTGAGGTACAAGATTTATCTAACTTACGTAGAGACTGCGTTTTCATGCATATCAAGGCAGGAGTAGTCGTAGGATGGAAAGCTTGTGAACGTAGTCCGTTGTTTTTGTTCTTTTCACGACATCCTCGGACGATCTTGAACTCCCCAAGTTGTTCTCTTTCTCTTGCTCGATTCTGGAGGTGAATCTTAAATCATGCTCACTTCCTGACCTAGAACGAAGTGACTGAAACAGACTAGGATAATCATTTTTTTGAGCGACAATGAGGCATTCTAATCCACACCCCACGAACATCGCTTTCGTGGGACTTAGACGGAGACCAATCATTGAACTAGTGCTAATTAAATCAGTCGACTTTTGTTCCTCTTGACTGGTGTTAATTGTTAACGATACCATCAGGAAAACAAAGATGGTGTCACTGTCGACTATCAAATTTCACTGCCGTGTTATTCCATTCTGATGTTTGTATGACTTTCTGAACGGTAGAAGTGAATAATTTTTGCAAGATGGTATTGCTCTGTCGAATAACTTTTTTCACGACGATAATAATATCGTCGTGATTGGCGATATTTTAGCTGTGAAATATTTATGCTACTTGCGAAGAATCCTCATGTGTTGAGCAGGAACACTTTGGATGTTCAGAGCTTTTAGGACTTCTTTTGTTTCAACTGAATCAGACTTCTTCAAATCGTTGAAAGGAAGGCAGAGGGATCTCCTGCACTCGCGAAACCTTGTTGAGTCTTGTTATCGTGTGAACGTAGCTTGCAGCAATGAATCCTTATCAAAACTCTGCTTGTTCGCCCCTTTATCTGTCCTTTATCCACTGATCTGTCAACTCGAGTGAAGAGTTCATAGACGACAAACGACAAGCAAGTAGGGAGATGATGCTGTTGGCGTAAATGTCTGTATTGTGGTCAGCAACACGGTCTTGCTGGTTGTCCATTGCCTGCTGATTGTGGATTGTGACAGGAAACGAGTGAACGGGCAAGCCAGACTGTTGACGTTAACTGGTGATGAGTTAAGAGCTATTCAGGTCTTATCTCCTTTGGGCGAGGTGTTCTTCCTTCAAATTTCAGCTAGTGAACGTCGGTTTTGAAAGAGAGAGTCGGTGAAACGACGATTCCTTCCTCTTTCAATTCCCACAGGGTAACACTCGAGCAAAAGGAGCGCCCACACGCGAAACGTTTAAAGATGTTCGTGCAAGAAGGATGTGAGGAAACGAATCTACATCAGATATGCTGGGATACTAGAAATTTCTAATATGTTTACTGCATTTTTCGCAGTGTTATGATGTTTCGTATATATCTAAGAGATCTGAGTGGTGAGCAAAAACACGACCTCAGGCGGGAATCGAGCGCGCGTTTCATCCATATCGGGGACGCGTGCTATTACCACTACAGTTATACTTCAACAGAGTGGTGGCAGAGATGTGCTCCGGTGGTGTAGTGGTAGTAACACGCGTCTCCAGTATAGACGAAACGCGGATTCAAGTCCCACTTGAGGTCGAGTTTTTGCTCACCACTCAGTTTTTTTAGGTATGTACTGGAATACTTACAGCATAATGTTAATTCAATATCGAGACACGGGGCACGTACACAATGATAACAATTAACAATAAATATAATAATGTTGATGAAGAAAACATAATAAACGAAGTCGTTGGATAATGCGAATATTAATAGTTTCTAAAAGCAATGTTCTCAAAACGAGGAAAAGCATTCTGGCTTTTCTGCTCTGCCTTGCAGACAACCATTTCCATATTAAACTATTAAACGCCAGAAGACATTCTTCATATTCACGTCGAAATAACTGGTTAAATTGATGATACTGACATTTTCAACAATTTGAGATTCTCATCTTAAATTGTATCTTTGTCGTCCCATTATCAGCCAAAACATCTCGCCCCTGTTTTTCACAAACCAACTTGACAGAAGCGCATAAAAAGCTTAAAATGGGCTACATACTTCCACTGACAATTTTACTATGCCTCTAGATGTGACAACTTGGTACCAAACATTTGTGGGAGCAGCTCCATTTGATTAAAACACTAGCCACCTCCTGCTGTGAATCATGGGATAGTCGTAGAATCATCACATTATTTGTCTGAGATGTTTAGTGAATTGTAATAATAGGTTGTGTAATTAATTTGTGCAAAACATCTCGGGTGTGGCTCAAGAAGGAAACAAGGAATATTTTATTGGTTAGGAAGTCCGAAGTTGAAGGAAATTTGGCTATCAATTCATTATAAAGGTCCATTCAAGTCAATATTTACACCGACTTCTACAGGATGTATTGTCCTATAAAAACAATGCTATGAAAACAACAAAACAAAACTGTGATCAGCAGCCATCCTGTTTAAAACAAGAAAAGTGCCCGGTGAGGCTACCTCTGAAGAAGATCCGACTTGAACAGCAGTTAGGGCCAAAACCAGGGCGATCGACTGTGGGGTATTGACACGGATCAATTCACTCTGGAATAGATAGAACACTTGCCGAGAAAAATCCTTTTTCGACTACTTCGTGAAATTGGCTCAATCAACAAAGAATATACTCTCAGTTGTAGATTTCTAACACCCGCGCCGAGCATCGTTAACCACTCGTCCACAGCCCCACTCCCCACACATTAAGCTAGATCACACAATAAAAAAGAACTAAAATTTATAAGACATCTTAGCTTTCATTTGTCCAGTCATTCTAAAGTTAGAATTTGAAACAAACACGGGAAAATCTAGTCAATTTTTGCTCTGAATGCTGGTACATGATGGTGGTTTGGCGAAATCATAAAGAAATTTTTTTTACGAATAATTCTAAGTAGCAGAAAGAGAATTGAACTAAGAATTTCAAGGAGTTGAAAAATGGAGCAAAATACTGATGAAAAAAATTTCAAAAATACGTAAATATCATCCACAAGGCACATCTGGAAGAGAGGTAGCAGAGCGGTGGCATTGGTTGTGAGTAGGTGCTCCCCATGTAGGTGAAAACGGCTCGAATATTTTGCTTATTATTAAACACCACTAGATAATTGTATCCAGCTCACGCTGATTTTTTTAAGCTAAAAGAAAAAGGATAGAATCTATGAGTCGTTTGAAAGATTCAATTTGATTTACTCTTCTTTGCTAATATTTTGATTTTTTTGAATGAGACTCTGACTGGGCGACTATTTATTATTGATAAGAGGAAGGTAAAGTAATAGAACAATTGGACTAAGTTGACCACAAGTCGAATTAATCTTTTCAGGTTCTAAAAAGCAACCACCGAAACATTATCCAATGATGATTTGACCTTGGTGATCACAGTTTCAGTTGTTTAATATAAGGTATCAAAGGTTGAGAGAAAGTCGGCCCTCATTTTACAGCTTTATGTTTGATGTACCACTGGATAAAATCTGCAAATCAAGGATGATAGCATCATCTCATTACGTAAGCTCTCGTCTCCACATTTCAACATGATTGTGCCCATGTTCAATTCAAAACTTATGTGACCCGCACACTCCACTGTGGCTCATCTTCTAAATCATGTAGAAACTGCCTTCATTAAGTGCATAATCCTGCATATTTGAGGGCTTTAGATAGCGTGAAGGCGCTTGACGGAGTTAGTGATGCCTAAAAGCTTGTTTATTCAGTCGCGCGAAATCTTAAGGCGGAGTGTGGAGATGAACTATCCATCCGCAATAATTTGCTCTACACATAACGACCTCAATTGAGAAGAAGTTACTAGATGAATAGTTAGCGTACTACGCAAATAAAGTGAACGTGGTGGAAATGATAACTTGGAAACATAGTTCTCAACTGACATTGAGCCAGCTGAGCAAAGTTGATGAAACATAAATTTGTAACTCTTCGTTCAGCTCTTGGTATTCGTGGTGTTGTTTGATTTAGTTATTCTACAGAAGTCATCATTTTCTCCAATACATCGCTATCCTTTAGTATTTGAGCTATGGTCAAAGTTCACGCTAATTTTTTGTAGTCAAACACAAAATGTCGCCACGAACAAATTTCAAATCACGAAGTGTTGTGGTAATTCAAAATGCCAATATCGCGACGCATATGATCTCGTCTCATATGAATTTATTTTTGGTCTCATATTGCAGCTCGATGAAGAAGAAGATATCTTGCTGTTCAACGAAAAGTGTTACAATTTCATGACGGCGAACTATTGCCTTTCTTTAAAGTCACGCGGGACTATCATTTGCTATTTTTCGTCTTCTCATTTTCAGCAGACCATCCTGAAAATAGCATTTTTCTCATAAACAGTTATTCCACACTTTTTCATGCGTTTCTCTATGTGGCCTTCATTGGCGACAACGAGTCGAGCGAGTATGATAATGAAGCTTCACTATCAAATTCAAAACGAGTATGACAGCAGATATGCGGGATACTTTTTAGCAAATAGGAAATTTTATATTTCGAGCATTTTGCGTTGAGGTTCAAATTCCTACGGAATATGGCATGTGTTGTTTCACTTTCGATTTTATTTTAGTGGTTAAAATGCATATCAACTCTATAAGGACTTTGATTAAGACAAAGAAAAATTCGTCATAAAAATAGTACTGAGCAGAAACAGGTAGTTGAAAATCTACGTAATTCATAAATCCAACGTTCAAAATGTTTTGAAGGAAAACGAGAAATTTCTACGACAAGCAATAAAGAGTTTAATATGTTATGACGCTTCTAAGAAAACCTAGTGAAACAAGTGGCTGGATGGCCTAGAATAGAAGCCACTGTATAAACGAGGATTCCACTGCTTCTCTAGACAAAACGTCTGAAAAGAGCGTGAATATGCGCCTTCCAAAAGCAAAGAAATACGCAACGAAGTTCTTGAAGAGCTAAAACAAAAGCCGGTTTTTGACTAGTTATCTCTCTTCATTTCATTTGAAAACATTCATGATGCAAGCTATGAACATTGAAATGTCTATAAATGGTAATAGAAATCGTTTCACATCAAATAATTTCTCATGAATGGGCCATTTATTTCGTACATCGGAAAGATATGCATACGTGGCCCGCATACATTAATAAAGAGTGCATATCTGGCCTGTACAATGATATTGAATAACCTACAATCTATGATATCGGCTTTTTCATCTCACAGACAAGTCTGGTAATAGGGAGGGATGTGGCTTAGTTTTCCAGGGAGCTCGGTTCAAGGCGATAGTCATGGGGCACCCTTCTACTTTCGAACCCGATAATATCATTAGTTTCATTAAAATTCTATCTTATGTGAATAGGCTATTCAGAACTAGGATGACCCTCTTGTTGTAGCTGTTTGGAGAAAAATGCTTCCACAATCAGCACGTTAAACGTTTTAATGGCGCAGAAAACATTTTCAGAGAAAAATCTAGTAGTGACCAAACAACGTATAGGAGAAGTATTAGAAACATGTCTAATCTAACTACTCTTCATAAGGCGGGAATCAAAAAATGAGCAATAGATATCAAACTTCGAGAAAATACGGATCAATAGATGTGGTAGAAAGCAGCTGTAATTTCTATTGGATACGTTCGATTTCACATTCAAAGTGGAAGCAGACGGCTGAAGAGAAATGAGCTATTCCGGTTTCCTGCTTCACGGTGAGTTCTGCGCAAATTTGATCAACGACTGAGCAGATAAAATTGAGACATTAGAAGAAAACACACCGGCTCTAGCCATAAATTATGAAATCTTGCAATTGTTTGTAAATGATATATGAAAATCGAGAGAACTTATCGTGATTAGCTGACGCGAGGTTGGTAACGTAGTCGTAGTTAATCGGCTGACGTTTCGGCGACCCGCCTTCTTCAGAGCCTGGGCGTATAGTATTAGTCTATTCAAATGATTCGGAGGATCTTATTTACATGCTGCCTAGGACAGGTTAAAAAGATCAAACGAAGAAAGGGCGCGAGATGCCGTGTGATGTTGACGCACTCGTCCTTCCCGTTCATTTCGGGACTTTTGGCGTCTATCCAAAATGCCCCAAGAGTTTTGAGCGTGGTTGCTTTTGATTCCTGCGCTAGGATTGTGACAGCCACATCGAAATCTTTCTGCTGTGTTTTTGTGCCCTATGTGAACCTTAGGGCTTGGTTTTATCTGTTTCAGATTTGCTATCTAGATGTTCGTTAATGCGGATGAAAATTGGTCTATCCGTTTCGCCTATATATTCTTCTCTGTTAGCAAATAAATTGCGCTCGATCTCATACAATCCCCATCCTTCCCGTTAGAGCAGATTGTACAGTTTTTGGTGCTGCACAATCAATCATAAAGTCGACTGCGGATCAGCTGATGGCGAAGGGTGGGAGGAGGGATTTCTATAACTACCACAGAATATTTGAAACCGTATCTTTTTAGGCACCTATCAACCGCGCTACTGATTTCGTTTGATATAAATGGCAGTTTGAAGTGAATTCTATTCAGGTGTGGAGTAATGTTCTTTTGGGACACAATTCCACTTTTTTAATAATTCTGAGTGGCAAATGTTTTGTAACGTTGGAAATAGCAATTTTCCGTGCCAGGTCCAACGATTCGTTCCTT